TCTAAATCTTGGTCTCCCAGTCGGGACAGTTTGCATATTAGGCTTTTATTAGGATATTCATTGACTTCAGAGAGGATGGGAGAGGAACCGAATCCTACCCTTCAATCCTCAGGCCGATGCTCTGTCCACTGAGCAAAACCAGCTAGGGCCAGTCCACGTCTATTAAATTGTCTCCTTATTGGACAGTTTAGGAAAGGAAGTCTCTATAAAACTTGGCATTTACATTCTATGAGAGGAAAGAAACTACCTAATATAAGTTTACCTCTAGGCCCTTGCTACATTTTTTCACCTTAGTCAAGAGTATTTTGACCGGCCAGAGTGATGGTTGGTTGAGTGTCATCCCATGCACTGAAGGTTTGCCAGTTTGATTCCTGGTTACGGCACAGGCCTGGGTTGCAGGTTCAATCCCTGGTCAAGGCACACCGTCTCTCTCTCTCTCTCTCTCTCTCTCTCTCTCTCTCTCTCCCTCTCCCCCTCTCCCTCTCTCCCTCTCTCCCTCTCTCCCCCTCCCTCTTTCTCCCTCTCTCTCCCTCTTTCTCCCTTCCTCTCTGTAAGCATGCCCTTGGGTGTGGATTAAAAGAGTATTTTAAAGGCTTGTTAAAAGGAGTGGGAGACAATTTGACACTTGACTCCCAAGCTAAGGAGAATACTTTAAAAAACACACCTCAATTCAGGCTGTTGGTGAATATTGTAGATTGATAATTTAAAAACAAATATTTAAATAGAACAAATTTAAGCTCTGTAGCAGTGATTTTCAACTGGGGTGCTGCAAGAATTTTTAAAACATGCACTATCTGATGATTGAGTCAGGGGTACTGACCTCTTTTTCCTTAGATTGTCAAATAAAGAAGTGACAACAGCCAGCACAACAATAGCCATCTGGTGTGAATGAATCAAAATTATGCCTTTTTTGGGTTAGATTGGCAAAAAATACAGTTTTTGGTGTGCTGCAGAATTTTAGTGATTAGTTTATGTGTGCCATGAGATGAAAAAGGTTGGAAATCGCTGATGTATAGCAGAGAAGTAGGCTACATGTAAGCCAGTCTTGAGGCCTGATCTTTGGTGTTTCAAGTAGTCAACATCAAGTGAGAGTAAAGGGCTTTGAAGACAGCACTGGGTTTAACCAGATTACAACATGGATCCAATTAACAACAACAAGAAGCAGCAGTGTCTGCATTGTGGCTAAGAGTTTAGGCCCTGGGGTTCCACTAATTTGGGTTTATTTCTGCCTTGTTTCCTTAATCAATCCTCACCTTCAAAAGGGTGCTTAAATCTCCATAAGCCTCAGTTTCCTCACTTATAAAATGGGGATAATAATAGCTCGTTGTGAGGAATAAATGAGAGTAAGTCACACAAAGGATTTATCATGTTGGTCACAGAATAAACAAACACTAATTGTCATTATTAGCTAGGACATAGTGGAAATATAGTTTAAAGATATTCTTTCGTAAGTGTGTCCATGCATGTTGGGTCACCTACTTACATTTCCAGGAAGTTGTATGTTTCACCAGTCCAAAGGTGCTTTTAGTTTTTTAGGAAACAAAATATTGTTCAACTTTAAAAATCTGAAGTTGAAATCTCTTTTACATTTCCTTTCCCCTCCAGCTCAATCCAAGTTAAAGTTTCATTGCAAAAGTTTCATGGACTCTTATTAGCATTAGTTATTATGTGTGTGCTGGTGGTAGTCCCATAGTGAGTGCATTAAGAGTTAAAACCTTGAGAAAACTTTAAACCCTCATGGGCTCAAAGAGCTGGAAGGGGCCTAAGAGATCATCTCCTCTAAGCCCCATTTTACAGATAAGGAACGTGCTTATTACAAGGTAAAATAATGGCTTTTTAATTTGCATTCTCGCTGGAATCTGCACTCATTTGCCATCTTGTGATTATGTTCTTATTGTGGGACTTGTGTGTATTTATTAGAGACCATTGAGATGTAGCATTGGGCATTACTTTTGTGGTAAAGGCATGGGGGCAGTAATCATTATTAATGGATTCCATTATTTGGGAGAGCATTTTACTGACTGTAGAGAATTCATTGCATTGATCTATTGTGCCACATTTGTATTATACCAGGTAGTTTAAAATGATATTCTCTAAACTGTTAGGCTGAAAAATTGTCCAATCTTGGCAGTTATCCCATCAGTAAGACCTTCCTTTGACTACTGAAAATACATAGTTCTGTTGAAAGAAACCTTTTGACTGGTCCCCAGTGCCCTGAATGTGTTTAAATCCCTCACTACTGAAATAGGAGGATTACTACTGCTATCATTGTTCTAAAACAAACTTCCTTTTGGACGATAACAGCAGCGGTAAATCAGATGTTGAAGAAAGTACCAGCTTAACTTCAGTTTGCTTTAAAAGGGTTTCCTCTTTAATTGACAAGTGTCATGTATAATAGAGCATGGCAACTCGCATGGAAAACCGTGCGGCCGGACTTCCCGCTGGGGTTGGAGTTCTTAATGAACACGCGAGTGAATACACGGTGGCAAAAAATTAAAGCCCCCCAGCTGCGGAGCCTTCATTCTGTTCACCGAGGCCGGTGGGTGATCGGCACCAGCCACGCCGATGACCGGAGACCTGGGCTGGTCACGTGGCTGTTCTGTAGCTGTGAGCTGGGGTGACTGTGTGCTTGCCTGTGACATTGCGAATAATAGCACAGATTGGAATGTCCTATCCAAGGAGGAAGCAAGCAAACATTATTTTTATTTTTAAATGCAAAGACAAGAAGCTGTTTGCAGCAAACACAATCTCTTCACAGAGTGGCCATTTCCTTGCTCTGGCCCACTCGCTAGCATTCCTAAGTTTCCTTACTTTAGTTCCCCTTCCCTTCACTCTCCAGAGGAGAACAGACTGAGTTTTTTTCAGAGGTGATGTTTACAGCAGTTGAACACACTCGAATAAGCACTTAGAATAACATCAATAGAGGAAGGGGAAAAAAGGGTGTATTATTATCAAATTAAGTAATGGATGGGCAGTGATATTTTATTTATTAGCGCTCGTCTGAGTACCGCTGGAAACAGTGTGTTGGTTCTGAAGTGCACAGATTAGAGAGCAATGTCGAGTTTGGAAACGTGGCAGCCTGCAGCACTGTGTATGGTTTAAATTAAACCTTTTTTTGGAAAGCAGAATAGCTCTAGGCCACATTTAAGGGGAAAGCTGCAGCAGAGTGAGCTGGCTGTGGTTTTTCTTTTACTCTGTAACCGGCCCACTTTCCCTTGTTTTAACACAGAAAAAAGACTTTGGACTCTTTCAGACCAACCACATAGCTTCTCTGCTGACCACAAAAAGGAAGCTTGGCGTAGAAGCCATGGGATTAATACCCACTGTCTCTTAACCCAGCAGAGTGTGAAAACTTTTATAAGAGATTTCTCTGGGCACACTGACACTGTGGTTGGACTTTAAACATTTTAAATCAAGAACAACTCTGAATTGCATTATGCCACAGTGCTCTGTAAACTGTTTATGTGCAATCCCACTGTTAAAAGTTGTTTACACGGATCCCCAGGTTTCAGAGGGATAAACCACTAACAGCTTTGTGTATCTTGATAAAGAAATGCAAGGAGAATTAAAGGTATGCCCATGCCAAATTATCTCAGCGTAGGTAGCTCACAGTCAATCAGATTTTATTGTTCTTAGGCAAATGGAGGCAATTGGCTCTTGGCAGAAAAGCCCTTTCATATTTGAAAATAATAAGATTAAGATTGTGGATTCTATTAATCACTTGATCAGCTTTATTAATTCAACACATTGTTTTTAAACTAGAAAGAAACATTTTAATAGAGGGGGGAATCTTTCTAAAGTAATTTTATGTTACAAATTTTGTGTTATTTAATATGCTGACCTACTAAGGTGTTATAATTGGTTGTTTCTGTGTTGTGGGCATTAATTTTTTTCTTTTTGAGAGGGAGGGAAGGAGAGAGAGAGAGAGAGAGAAAGAGAGAGAGAGAGGGAGAGAGATACATTGATTTGTTGTTCCACTTATTATGCATTCATTGGTTGATTCTTTTTTTTTAAATCTGAAATGTTCTTTATTTATAGCTTTAAAAGCATTAAAAATTTAATGGGCCCTGAGCATTAATTTTATTTTATTTATTATTTTTTAATATATTTTTATTGATTTCAGAGAGGAAGGGAGAAGGAGAGAGAGTTAGAAACATCGATGAGACACATTGATCAGCTGCCTCCTGCATGCCCACTACTGGGGATCGAGCCCACAACCCAAGCTTGTGCCCTGATTGGTTACCAAACCCAGGACCTCTTGGTCCATGGGACGATGCTCAGTCCACTGAGCCACACCAGCTGGGTCTGAGCATTAATTTTAACGATTGGAATCTTACTACCCTGATTAATCATGTGTTTTCACAAAGCAACTCTGAAATTAGCAGAAATTATATTTATCTATTAAATACCTGGGATTGACATATTATAAAAGAAATCACTTGAATTTACATTTTGCAATGCTGAAGTAAGGAGCTTTGCACAGGTGCACCGTATCAGCATTCTGCTTTCTGTTCAACACAGACTCTCAATCAAAAGAACGGATTTGAAAAGTTGAAGGAAAAACCTGCATACATGTTTCAAAATTGTGGTCTGACAGCAACCACTGAGTTCATTCTTGGTTGACTGTATGTCGCGAGAGGGGTTTACTTGCCGTCATTATAGAAATTGGTCTGCGTAACACTTCCTGTGTGTGAAGAAATGCAGTTGTCATCTTGCCTAGACCTTTAAAAGAGAATTTAAATACTTCCAGTTGTGAGGAGCCTTGCATTTATTGTGGTTATTTTCCCCGGTGTCTTAGGAGCAGCTGTTTTGTGCTTTCTTGAACTTAATAGTTCAGGAAGAATGTGGGAAAGAAATGGTGTACTTTCTGGGTAAAGTATTTGAGCCACCTTGGAGTAGTTGCATTGCATCTTGATCTTTTTTCATCTCGGTAGAATTATACTGTAACTAATTGAATCCATTGATCACTGTCTTGTTTTTTTTTCCCATCTTCTTCTCAGAGGATTCATTTCATAGGGGTCTATACATCAGTCAAGAAAATGACTACAGAGGAATTACCAACACTCGTAAGAAAGGTAATTTAACCTAGTTTAATGTTTTTTTAAGGGCAACACTGTGAGTGTCCTTTACCTGGTGAGAGTTAACTTCTTACTTAGGCTGTGTTGGAAAACTAATCAAAATATGACACTGACCAGGACTTTCAGCGAGGGAGAGAAAAGAGGGGAGAAAAAACATCCGTCTTGGAATTGGATGGCCTGGATTCTAGGCCTATCTAAACCAATGCTCTCCAAACTTTATTGTGCATATGAATCGGCTGGGGATATTGTAAGCTGCAGATTTGGATGCAGTTGGGTCTGTAGCATGTCTGAGATTTTGCGTTTCTGAAAAGCTTTCTGGAATGTCCGTGCTGAAGCACCTCAGACCACGCCCATCCATTTTAGCACTTAACTAACTTTGTGGCTTTGGATATACTATTTAACAACTCTGCATCTCAATTTCCTAGTCTCCCAAATAGGGATGCTAATCTTTGCTCTGCCTACCTCGTCAGGGATAATATAGAGTCAGATGAGCTAATGTAGATGAAATTTTCAAAGGCTATGTAAGTATAAGACAACAAAGATCTTTGTTTATAGATAAAGACATTCTTTGAATACCTTTCATCGAATCCTCGTGAGCTGTTCTGTGATGGGAAGCGCCCTGAACTGTGAGACAGGAGAGAGGGACTGGAATCGATACTTGTTTCACCCACTCTGTGCCTTGGGCCCAGTCACTTCACCCTTTTGGTTTTCCTTGTCTCATCTGTAAAATAAAGGCTTGACCTGGATTAGAGGATCTCAAAAGTGTGGTCGCCAGCCCAGCAGCAGCAGCATCACTTGGAACTTGGCTGCATTTCTCTGCCCTTCCCGACCTCCTGAGCCAGAAATTCTGGGGCTGGGGCCCAGCAACCTGTTTTTAACACGTGCTTCAGGTTGTTCGGATACACGCTAAACTCTGAGAACCACTCTGAAGTGTCATCCAACTTTGAAACGGGATACTTCAGCACTGTCTTTATAGGGTTAGCCACAGGGATGCCTTTCGGTGCAATCTAGAGAAACTCCCTTTCTCATAGGAAGAGTTGGGAGTTGATGTGCTCCAAGGGTGTTCACAGAGCATGTAGAAAGGAGGGATGATCCCCTGGGGGTTTAAGCCTCACCTCCCTGGAAGTCAGAACCGATGATAACCACATTGACCCACACCTTTCTGGCTTATCCCAGCTTTGGAGGCAGCTTTAGTGGCCTGTGAAAGCTGATGGAGACAGAACGTGTAGCTTGAGGAGGTTCTCTTCTATTCTCCCCTCTGCTCCCCTGGTAGCTGGCATCATGACACAGCCCCATCTAACATTTTCAGACATTTCAAGCACTGGCACAAAGATCACCAGTCTATTTGCATAAGGTAGGTTGGTGAGAGATGAGAACTGAGAAAGTCAAATTCGTGTTTTCCTTAAAGTTATTTACGGTTAGACTCCACATACCTGCGCTTTTGTTTTCTGTTTGTACAGTTGGGAAAATACCTTAACACTAGAAGGAAAGCACAACCATCCTCCAATTATTTATTTATAAATAAGTAAAGGTAATATTATCTACCTAATACTTTTTTCTGGATTAAGTGGCATAGTATTTGTAAAGCACCCCGTGCACTGCCTAGCCTCTCATAGTATCTCAGTAAATGGTAGCTAAGATCATCCAAAGTAGATTTTATCAAGTTTGAGCACTAAAGCTCATGATCTTTATATTCAAAAGAGACCCTCAAGGAAGCCTACCAACTTCTATACAAGTCTGATTTTTCATTCCAGAGCAGCAAATAAGCTCTAGTGGACAGCTGTTTGAGTCTAGAAAGTGGACACAACAAGAGGTGTTAGCTGGCAAGCTGAATGGTGAGAGAAGACATGGAGACACTTGAAAGTAGAGCAGATATGAGGTCGAGATGGATAGTAATTTGAGACCCTCCCCCCTATACACACACACACATGTATGTATATATATGTATATGTGCAATATAAAACATGTATATACAGTGCATATGTGTGCATACATGTATATATGTGTACATACATAAATATATACAGATACACATATACATGTCAGTACATGCATTTTAGCAAATATATGCATATTTATTTATATATACACACACATGCACAAGCACACACAAATGTCCTGTATACTAATATTCCTAAATATTTTTTGGGTATTTACTGTGATGGAACACTTTTGTGTAACTCATGTTCTTAATGATACCTTTGGGAAAAGATCAAGTTATGTTTTAGCGTATAAGAATATTGGTTTCACATTATAGAATATAGCTCTTTAAAATGAGTTAGTGTGGAAAACAAAGTCATCCTTAAAGTGATAAATATAAGCTTTGCAAATTCATATAATTATGGAATATCTGCAATTCTGAATGACCTTATAGATCATCTTATCCAGTGGTTTCAGATTTTCTTTAAACAGGGATCTTTTCTTCAGAGTCTAATGCATGTGGAAGATATATGTGTGTGTGTGTGTGTGTGTGTGTGTGTGTGTGTGTGTATACATATATATATACACACACACACATATCTATCTATAGCTATATCTATATATCTATATCTATATCTATATCTATATCTATGTCTATGTCTATATCTATATCTATATCTATCTATCTATCTATCTATCTATCTATCAATATCGAAAAAGTGTGGGAGTACTGGATCTCTGTTAGCGTTGGCCCTTCTGTTCTTTCTTCCAGAGGCAGCTGAGTTGGAATCGATCCCTAGGGCAAGGAATCACCTGGAAGCTTGTTATATGCAGAGTATGATCCTGAAGGTCTGGGGTGGGGCCTGAGACTCTGCATTTTTAATTATTTTTTTAAGTTTTTTTCATCACCACTCCGCATTTTTAATAAACTCGTGAGGTGTTAAACATACACTGATTACGGTTTGAGCAGCAAGGCCCTGGGGAGTCGGTGCAGATAGTTTCTAAAACTTGGACGGGCCAACCTCTTCATTTTACCAATGTGAGAGGAAGGCCTTGAACATTATAAACGATTGGCTAAGCCTCTGCTGTTCTGTGTTATGCCTGAGAGGAGTGGCTGTGTTGTGGCCCTTCTGGCTGAATGAAGTAACCCAGTCCCAGGGTCTCATTGGCACCTAGGGCCTTGCACAAACTTAGTTATCATCATAGATGATGCCAGGAATTTGTTCCCTTCCAGCCCACTCTCTGCCCCATGGAAAAACAGTGCTTTGAATCAGACTCCATTTAGGGTGGAGCATTCTCATTGCCCAGCAAGGGCCGAGGCCGGTAGCTGTGGTGTCTGCTGCCACAGCAGAATGGATACGCAGTTCTCAGCACCTCCCACATAATCCATAAAACTCTTTCAACCTCTTTTTTTTTTTTTTGCATGATGTCTAGTGTTTGCAAATGGAAAATGGCTGAGAAAAAACAGAGTGAAAGTTTATATAAAATATTTATACCTTAAAGATCTTTTTATCTTGTGTCATTCAAGAGATAGAGAAGTGAAAAATGTATTGGGAGTACATTATCAAGAGTACATTATAAATTTAAATCTCAGATTGAATAATACCAGCTGCTAATGTGTGGAGCTTTGGAAATGAGTCACTTTTGAATCTTGAGAATTTACTGTACCAGGTCAGTTACACTTAAGAAGGAAGTGCCTTTTGAAAAAAAAAAAAATCCTGTACCGGAATCAGGCCTTATAGTAATGGGTATTAAAAATCAAATATTTGACATAATTGTCATGTTAGAATATAGTTACATAGGAATGAGAAATTTTACAGAATGTTTCTCAAAAACATCAGATATTTTAGTCTCTTCTTTGGGAACCAGTATAACCTATGGTTAATAGTATATGTCTTAGAGTAAGAAAGACTTATATTCAGAGTTTCTGTTCACTGCTTGTTAACTCTGTGATTTCGAATCAGTTACTTTCTCAGAGACTTACTTTCATTATTTAAAAAAATAAAAGTATCCCGGCCAGTGTTGCTCAGTGGTTGAGCGTGACCTATGAACCAGGAGGTTATGATTTGATTCCTGGACAGGGCACATGCCTGGGTTGCAGACTCAATTCCCAGTAGGGGGCGTGCAGGAGGCAGCTGATTAATGATTTTTCTCTCAGCATTGATGTTTCTATCTCTCCCTCTCCCTTTCTCTCTGAAATCAATAAAAATATATTTTTTAAAGATAAAGTAGTATTATCTACCTAATACTTTTATTTCTGGATTAAGTGGCATAGTATTTGTAAAGCATCTCATACACTGCTGAGCCTCTCATAATATCATCACCATCATATTGTCTTTAGCCCTAACCAGTATTATGTAGCCCTGTAGTGATATGGTGTCTTTCTCCTCTCTGTGTAGGTGTGTAAACCAAAATCTTATGTGCCTGTTGAAAAAGTTAGCAGTCATCAAAAGAACATATATTTTCATAACTGAGACCTTGACTGTCTAAGCCAGATACCTCGATTCTAGGAAGCAAAAAAATACATATTTTGTTGGTTATAAAGGTCATTTGTTTTTATAGTGCATAGTATATATTTTTGTAGGCTGAATACAGGATGTAGGATCTCACATTCAGATGCTTATGGCAGGAGGAGGGGTAACTAAAGGAGTGAAGTAGGCAGTGAACAGGGAGAGCCCAAGCCCCATCTGAAAGTCAGCGAGTCCCATGGAAAGGCCCCTTAGTTCTAGTCAATTGGTATTGGGTGTTGTGTGAAACCTGGGCTCAGTGTCCTTGTTTCTTTCTTTCTTTTATTTTTTAAAAAGAATCTGGGCCTCCATATTTTCATATGCATTAATAAATGTCTTAAATAATGGCAGCTGTATCTTGAGAATGCTGTTGGCTGCAAAAAACAAAAAGCAGTGGTTTAAACAAAGATTTCTTTTTCTTGCATAACTGTTAAGTCCAGAGGTAGTAACTAGTGTTGGCTTGTTTGCTCACTCATACCAACAAGCATCCAGGCACTTTTCATTTTTCTGCCCTAACACTTTATTTGTTGACTTATTTTTCATAATTCTCATCATGTTATGGTGGCCATC